CTGGGGCTGGGGCTGCCGGCGGCAGCCGTCCTGACCGTCCGCTCCGGTGGCAGATCCCCTCGGGTGGCTGGCCCGCTTCCCGCTCCGCGGCACGGGCAGCTCTTCGCGGGGGACTGGGCACCCGCTTCTGCGGAGCTCCAGGAACCCCATCGGTCGCGCGAGTCGCCGTCCCTCAGGTAGCGGGGCGGGGCGGGGTTGAAGCGGTACCGCGGAGCACGTGAGCCGCGGGCGCGGATCTCTGGCGGTGTAACGCTGCTCGGGGAAGCGCCCTTTAGGAAGGAGGCTGCCGGGAGTCTTCATCGTCCCTAAAAAAACCACGCGCTGTTCTTCCTGAGCTGCTGCTAGAGTGGGTGGTTGTTTTTTCCTTTCTTCACTGCAGCGCCACGGTATGTGTAAGACAAACCTTAGCCGACGTGCACGTTGTCGTATTTTTCCCCTCCGCTAGGGAAAAGTTAAAATGTGAAAGCTCTTCACTTTCGCTTCCGTGCTCGTGTCTTCAAAGTGCATTAAGTATCCTCAAGGTAATATGCAGCGCTCCGCCTCCGAAAGTTACGTTTGTTTTCTTGGGAGTTTTATGTCCCCGAAAGTTCGAGTTAAAGATGTTTCTGTGGCGGTACAAAAAAGTTTGTCTAGTAGAAGTCATTAGAGTAAAACTTAATGCCGGGTTTTTTTTCTTTTCAGTTGAAGTTTTAAATTTTAGCTTTATATATGTATAATCACAGCAGTGAGATGTTTCAAAGGGCATGCAGAACATCAACAAGCATTAGAAGAAAAAAAAAGTAAGCAAGAAAGATGTGTAGAGGAGCAAGGAGAACCAGACAGAGCTCCTTTTGTTTTTCTGTTATGCTGTTAGGGAGCATGCAGGGTTTTTCCAACAAGTACATTTGTATTAAATATCTCAGTATTAATCTATACAGATCCATTACATGTGACTGTTAGACTAATTTTAGTTCAGCTGTTGAAAGCAAAAGTCCATTCCTGGTAGGTTCAATAACTAAGCCATTGTTAAATGTCATCTGCCAGAATTCCAAGGTAGCAGTGCTGTACCACAGTGTTTTTACAGCCTTGTGTTATGCCCAAGGCGTTAATGTTTTTCCAGAATTTAAGGCTAGAGGGAAGCTATAGTAGCTGTTTTGTACCAACAACACCAAAGATCCTTCTTTTAGGGGTAATAAAACTAAAATCTCAATTCCACAAATAGGTTAATGTTATTACCTGGGGTGGTGTGGTTTTTTGGTTTGGTTTTTTTTTTCTCTCCTTTATTCTGATTCAGAATCAGATTCTGTCATTACCATGGTTTCCTTTACGAAACACCTTTAGGGACAAAGTTGAGCAGAAAGATATGGTTTTTTCCTTCCTTATTAATTCTGTTTATTTTCCAGTGAAAGTCAGCGTGCTCTTCCAATATAAATAATATATGGTCGAGTTAGTATTTGTAGGTATTACTTCCTGTTAAACCCAACAAAGTTACTTCTATTCTTGGATCAATTAGGCTAAGATTCGTAATGGCCCCTTCTAGCATCACATTGGAAGCTGTGGTGTGGCTTGTGCAAATGAGTAGACAGGAAGTAGAATTACGGTGCTCTTTACCATTTTGTGTTTAATTTCTTTGGTATAACTTTAATATTGCTTTAGATGAGATGCTGTTGCTCAGGGATTTAAGAATGACATTATTAAACATTTGAAGGATTTCTGAATGTAGGAGTTTTGGGGCTGGGTTGCTGCATCTGAAATTCTGTATAAGAAATAGTCTTAATGATTTGGATGACTTGCTTCATACTTTCTTCTGTGGTTGAAAGAAGACTGGGTCCTGTGGATCCTTCCCATCCTGTAGCTGGATCAAGTGCTCATGTTCACTCAGTGCTTTATCCAAGACACAGTTAGGAGCCAGCTGAATTAGTTCTAGTGGTGTCAACTTGCTTCTGGTGCTCCTCGCATTCAGGAGGGTTATTACGAAGTCCTCATGGTAGTGATTAGCAGATGTGCAATAATCTGGTGGTTCCAGGAAGCAGCATGATTGCTGTGAGCTTGTGTTCAGAGCCGCTGCCTACATATACACAGAGCATGTATGATGCTTCCCAGGCACAGTGAATGCAGAGTGCAAGTAGCTGCTATGGTACAGAATTGAAGCAGAGCTGACTGGAGAGCTCTTCGTTTGCCTATAGGAAGGTTTGAAATACATCTGGGCTATATTAATGTGTAATCTTGTGATTGTTGGTTTCAAGTTAGTGTTTACCCTGAGATACAAAATGTTATGCCGGACACTTGTGGGATAGTGTTTTTATGGATTTTTCTTAGGCAACCTTTAGCAGTGTAGGAAAGCATAGGATTCTTAGAGCATAAGCCACATTGGGAGTTTGCAAGCCACTGGTTTTGGTCTGCTTACTTTAAAACACTATCACCTTATTGGTAAAAAAGGGTTAAATGAATAGGACAAAAAAGGAAATCTGATTTTTGTTCTTAAAATCTTAAAGGGCTTTTCTTGCTGGACTTTTAAAATATCTAATTTATGTTGTAGTTTGTTCTGTAACAAAAGCTCTGAGTTTCCCATAAATAATCTTTACAGTGCTGTCGTCATGGACACATAGAACTATTGGACAGGTTATTTATTTTAAGAGAAGCTGTAGTTCCTCAAAGTATATGCATTTGAACCTGTTACTTTGATTGATATATGGGAATAACAATTCTTGGTTTTAATTTCCTTTCATTTCACATTTTAATGCTACTACTGAAGTTTTAGCCTTCTCCTGCACAGAGACAGACCTCTGAGGTAAGTTACCATAAACCCATTTTTAAGAACTGGTATTTCTAACAGTGAAGTGTCACAACATGCCAGACTTGAAATGGACTGTGAGGAGGATTAGTCTAAAACATGTGATCACTTGCATCTTTTTTCTGCAATAAAAAGCAGCAAGTTTTAGTGAGATACAAGTTTTTGTTTCTTGTGGATAATGTTAATTATGTAAAGTCAGTCAGTGGCTCTACAGAGAGAAATTGCAATGAAGAATACACAATTTGAGATACTATTCAAATTGTGTAGTTGATAGATTGTTTTCCATAAAGTAATTCATATAAAAATATTCTGATAAAACATAAACACAGGAAACACTTTTCCCCTGGTTGAATGCTGTCTGCTTAAAACAACTACATTTTAAAGTCAGGATATCTGTCTTTCTTAATTTTCTTGTTCGGGGCACGATATTACCTTTTATAGTTTAGCTTGCTTGCATCAAAACATCACCCAAAATTCTTAAAATGCTTTTGTGTGAGGAGGATGCTGGGAAGAACCATTAGCATTAAAGATGTGCCTAAAGGGTGAACACACATATTCAAGGATAAAAAGGTCAACAGAAGGATGTTTAGAAATAGCTGTTTCTAAGTCATCTTGTGAACAGGCATCCCAGAAGTCAAATTAATAGTTCCTGGTCTGTGCAGTGAGATTTTTTTTTTTTTTTTTAAATAGAATTCTAAATATGTTCTTTGGCAATGTGACTTAATGATAGATTTTTATATATAGGAACTATCTACAAATAGTTGCCTGACTTGTTACACCAGTGTGCTACCAATCCAGCAGATAAATATTTAAACTGCCTGAGTATGGTGAAGCTTGTATAAATAGATGATTCATTTCCCATAAAGAAAATAATGTCTCTCTTCTCACACACTCATATGTCTCAGATTTCTTAAATATTAGCTCTTATTTTTGTTTGGCATAATCACCAGGAGAATGACTTCTGTGGTCATTAGGGTTTTATCAACGTAATCTCACTTGTTCAATTAAGAATGATATAATTCCTTCCTGCATTCTAAATAGTGAATGTGAGAAGATACAGCTTACGCTCAAGGTTTTGTGTGATTCTTCAAATACAGAATGATGCAAGTTGAGATGTGTTACTTTGAGCTGCTTCGGTTGTTCAATTTGCCAGCACATCAGCTAGTGCCACAGGACAATTTTATCAGCTGTGTCTCCTGTAAAGAGCGTGAAAAAGAGGAGCCAGAATTCAGATTTAGAGGTATGGTTTTTAGAGAAGTCTCTAGTTTTCAAATGCAGTGATGAAATTAGGTTATGAAACAGTCTTCGCTGTTGTAACTTTATATGCAGTGTCAGCTCCTGTGAGGTGGTCAGTTTCCTTGAGAATTGAAGGGTTACCTTGAGTTTTTTTTAAATATACATTTATATACATGTAGTCCAAGTTCATTAGAAATTGTGTTGCTGCTAGCCCCGTCGGTGGAAAGAAGCATCCGTTTGTCATAATTTCATTGTCAGCTTCTTGCAGCAGATGTGGCATTTTCTGTGAGTATGTTGTCATTCTCTGTTCTTTGCATATGCAACTGTTATAGAGAGATGCTAGACAACTATGCTGAGATCATGGATTGAGCAGGTTATATTGTGAGATGGATGTTGTCTCCCAGGTTAATTTCATTTAGATCTTGTTTTGTCCATCTTTGTGCCAGCTCTTCACCGGAACCCTTCTTGTGAAAGGCTGTTGCAAGAAGCGCTGTTATTGCTTGCTCTGAGATGCAATAGAAGAGGTTCTAAGGAACACAGAGATCTTTACCACAAAAATTTCTGTTTGCGAGAAATGGTACCTTAATCCTGTCTGAAAGAGCAGAGACTGAACAATTGCATACACTGAATGTACAGGACAGTAAAGCTTCATATGTATTATTTCAGGTTTAGGCTTGGTTCAAGACTTTCATTTTCATAGTCTGTCTGAATAATTAATTTATTTCTGTGTTGTCATCTGCCCAGGTTCATGGGAAATACTTAATAATTCAAGAAGGGTCTGAGCACTGCTTTTATGTGGTACTGCCTTTTTCAGTCTGGCACACAGTTTACATGAAATGCTTAAGTGTAGCATTATGGCTAGAAGATGAGCTGATCAGGAATAGACTTTATTAGCAAGTTCTGAAATGTTTCCCTTGCTTTTTCTGTGTCCATCTGGGCCCTGAGGTAACTACAAAGTGTGGATTTTTGGTCCATTGTCATTAGTAGTTTGCAGGAACTAGGAAATGTTCTGTGACAGCGACAGCTTACATCAGAACAGGTTTCAGACTTGTGACTAAAGGCAGTGATGCCAAACCCAGGTATAGCAGTGCTCACTTCATTAGTCTTTTTGTTATCTTGTAGTTATGTATTTTCTGCTTGTCAGATTGGGAAACACCTATAGTTATGAACATACCATTGTACTACTCTGGTATGTTATCTGCACAAGCCTGTACTCTCCTCTGGTATTGCAGCATAGATAGGGTTGCTGCAGTCTGACAGTTCCCAAGTGCTCTGTTAAAAGATTATTCTGATAATAGATCTGTTCCCTTCCAGGTAGAATGTCATGTTTACAGTTTCTGTTGAAAAGCAGACATTGGCTGGGTTATTTGGTGGATGCCACTTATCTTCGGTAGAATCATTAGTGGAATTCAAAGAACATTATGATCGGTGGAACTGCAAGACAAGACAAGTCCTCGATTTACAGTTTTGCTTTAGTAATGACAGCTCAAGCAGAAGGACTTGTAATATACTTAGTTGACCTAATCATGCTCTTGAGCTGCCTAGACATGGCATAGGATCAGGAACAAGTCTCTCCCTTGTGACTGTACATTGCTGCAGTTCAGAGTCTGGATGTCACAAGTTCTGCCATACAGTTTATAGTAATTTTCAGTCTTCTCCTGTCCAGAATTATCAGTGGTTTTGGTTTTTTTTAAAGCCTGATACGCTCCTGCGGTCATAAAAGCCATACCAATAGAAAGGACTATTAGCTGTCATCTGGCCTCATTCTGGTGTGCTTTACCTTACTTTACGGTGTACCCTACGTAGAGGACAAACAGTTGATAGCTTGAGAAAAGCAGAGGTTTCAATTATATTTGCCCAAAGGGGAGCATAGTTACTTTCATAACAATAACTAATTGAATAAAGAAGTCTCTTGTTATGTGATGTAACTTACTGGTAGTCAAGGCTGCCAGAGCCCAAACAGTATCATCTGTCCATGTAAAGTTATTCCAGTATCCCAAATGTGCAAGTAATCCAGTCATGTATCTAGAGTATTTTGCATCTGATTTGCCTACTAGATCTGATAGTGTGTTGTAGAATGGTATTTCAGGAGGTAATGCACTAGTGCAGCCATGATTTTTTTACTTCCACTGTCCTGAAGAGACTGCAATTTGCCACACTGTATTCCATCAAGTCTTCAAAAAGAGCATGCTTACTCACCTGATAGTGACTCTGATCCTTGAGGATGTTTATCATATTTAGGAAGATATTTATCATCTTTAGGAATCCTATCACCCACCTCCCAAACCTGTTCTGGAAATTTTCACATAACACAGGCTTTCAGACGTGAGGAGAATTGGGTGGAGCTGGAGTCATTCTTCCTTTTATACAGTATGGGATTACGAGGATTCATGCAGTGTATGCAGAGCTCCAACAACCATGCTGTTTAAAAGACTTCTGAATTCACACATGTGAAGCATCTGTGTGCCCTCTGCAAGTTCTGTAATGACTGCAATGTAGTAAGAAAAGTATCTGTTGTTTATGTACCGAGTTTCACTACCATAAATACTGTTTTGGGTTACTGAGATATGACTTTTTCTCACTAGTATTTTACTAACTTTTAATGTTTATAATGTTATTGAAGATCAGGTTGTATACAACTATTTACTGTAAAACGTATCAGTTTTCTGGTGTTATGGATAGTCATGTTGTCTTTCTTTCAAGTAAAATAGCAAAATTAATTCTTGAAACGCATTAGTATTACAGACCTCTTCAACCCATTATACACATATTGATTCCTGATATTCTCAAAACCTCTGAGGAAAATGCCTTGCATTATTTTTCATCTCGGATTTTGCAAAACTGGAAATGGAAGGGATTAAAGGACCATCTCAGGATTTGGGAGGTTTTGCTTTTGTATCCGGGTTTCAAGTTGAGTATCCTCCACTTGGATAAATGCATTTTCTTGTTGTAAGTTGTCTTTTACCTAATGTGGACGCAATTATTACATCTCAAACAAGAGCATTTGCATTGCAGGGAAGGGAAGCAAGTTTTTTAATCCTTCCTTTCCCTGTGTGTTAAAGGATGCTTTTTGCATAGCACCTCTTTTGCTAAATCTGTTCTTTTCCCACATTAGATGCATAGTGGGACACTCAGTGACGTGAAGGGGGAGAGGGAGTAACAGAATTGATGTATTCATGTGAGAAAGTACTTGTGATGGAAGAGAACTGGGACACACACGTGCACACACACACACACAAATGTACATGCTAAGTAGAAAAAGCTGTCCAGATTTTTAGGTTGACTGGATGGTATCCATTTACCAGTGATTTTGGAAACGTTACTTTAACAAAAGAAATGTGGCTACAAGTCCTTTTGGGGACTCTATAATAATAATAATGAGTTTCAAGGAAGTTAGAGCAAGAAAATTTTGAGTGTTTTTAGGAATATGTCTCAATTTAAGTTTGAATTCTGTTGAATTTCTTGAAAACCCTTTTTACTTGCTGTTGCAGCAGTGGGTATTAGGCCATCACTTTGTCAGCAGAAAGTTGTTTTTCTGGAAACAGCCATTGAGGAGTCATGCACTGGTCTGCACTGGATTCTATGGGCAAAGCCACTGACTGTTAATGAGCTCTGTCTGGCAGCCAGGAAAGCAACAGGGAATGGAAAATACCAGCACAAAAAGAGAACCAGGAAAAAAGGGACAGACTGCTTTTTAGGGGTATGCTTTCTAAACCTAAAAACCATTGGTTTAAAAACAATTTAAATACTTAGAGCTTCACTTTTTTTCCCCCTCAAGGACAATGACTGAAGCTTGGTAAAGTCATGGGAGCAGAAGATACTCAAAGATGGAATCACATTTAGGTGTTTGAGAGGTGCAGGAGGATTTCCATGAATCTGACATGCTTCTTAAAAATAATGTATGTGCATGGATGTTTGAGTGGTTCCTTTACAGATAATTTATATTTACTTCAGTCTCCAAAAGGTCCATCTCTAAGATAAAACGGAGACCGGAGAGGTAATGTGTGAAGTGTGCCCTAGTGGAATACAAGAAGCCTCAGGAAAATTCCCTCAGGCCACAGTGTTTTCTTTCTCCTGTTTCTAGTTTATTGTTCCTTTTTATCATATTCCTTTCCTTTTTTGCCTCTAAAAAAAGTTCCTTTTCACCAAAAGTTGTAAGAATGCAGCGAGAGGAAGAGAGATGGGTTGGGTTAAGTATAGTTACAGTATACTTGAACATGAATGTGTAGGATGCAAGTGAGCTGGCTAGATAGAAGCAGATGCCTTTGCTTCCTTATTCTGTTTAGTGTCTCATGCACTTTCAAGGTAAGTTAATCCACAGAGATACTGTGTCTAGACTGTGGACTTGCTGTAGAGAAGGAGAACCTGAAGCTACAGAGGCTTGGGAACTTCCAGGATAGGCTGCTTGTGGAAAGATTTGGAAGTTTTAGTCTCTGAGTCAAGGGCAATTGTACTGTAGAGACTCATCTCCCAAAGAGGTGTTGGAAATGATCAACTGTATTCCTGAAGAGTATAATTATAGAGATTTTTTTATGTAGAAAATATCTGCTGCTCAGACCTAATAAGGCTTGCAAATGCACATTATCCCGGTGTGGGATTCATAACTTATAATGAAGTTGGTTTTGTAGGTTTGTAATATCTGCTGGTCTTCTCAGTTCCCGTGGAGAATGATTGAGCTTAAGAGGAAATGTAAGAAAGCTTTTGGTTGTTCTTTTTTTTAAACGAACCTCCAGAAAGAAGAATAGCTCCTAATACTCAGTTGTTACTTGACTTCAAAGTTGTTTATCCCTATTATTAAAAATTGTAGTTGTTTTTGAAGATATACTAAAGCAAGATCACCTATGCTGTTACCCACCTAAACTCCTTGTCCAATCCTGCCATGTTCATGGCTTCAGGATGTAATTTAAAGCTTGCGAAGTTTTATTCTCAGCAGTTCAAACCACTGTACTTTTTGTGGTGTTTTCTATTTGGTTCCTCAAGCATTCTAAGAAACCTGATCTTGTTTCTTATGTGCAGATTTTGAAATGAAGTTTTATACATATGTGGCAAAGCCAATATTATGACAGTAATACTGTAATGTTGGTACATCATAAATCTTAAAATTTGCATTTGGAGCCTCAAATCTCGCTCCTGACAAGCTAATAACTCTAATGATCAGTCAGAGAGTTAATGCATTGTGACAATCCCATTGTTTGTTTTCTAGCTTAACAAATGGCGGCACAGTGTGTAACAAAGGTGGAGCTGACTATTGCCTGCACTAATCTCTTGGATAAAGATGTTGGTTCCAAGTCAGACCCGCTGTGTGTGCTTCTCCAGAACACGAGTGGTCAGCAGTGGTATGAGGTACAGTGTGATGCTTCTCATGAATCTGCTAAAAACACAGTCTAACTTGTTGGACCTTCTAAAATGCTGGAGTGTATGATTTTGTTAAAATATTTTAATTATATACCAGCACCTCTGAGTACTTTTCATTAGATTATGTCTATAATAGTTATACAGGCAGCACACTAATAATCGTTTTCTAATAAATATTTACACCTGTTTGATTTTTAGCACTGTTCCCCCAGCCATGTGTGGACCGACAGAAGAAGCCTTCTCAGTGCTTAAATGTGCTTTTATAAGTACAGTGCTCCAAAACTTGGGTCTCATCCTGGATTTGACAATATCAACATTCTTATTTAACATTCTTATGTTAGTCTTCCATATGCAGGAATAGGTACTCCTTATAGGGAGCAAAGAAAAACAGGTCCTCAAATATCTCTGACTTACAGCAGTGGGTTTTGTAATATAATGTGGTTATTTATATTTGATGGAAGGTTTGTAGGAAGATACAGCTTTATACTTTATAGCAAGAAGAACTTTTGAAAGTTTCTAATAAAATGTTATTCGATTGGAGTGCTTGTTTGGTTGGTGAAATACTGGATAAAGTGATATCTTTCTAATTGCAGGTTGATCGCACAGAAAGAGTTAAGAATTCCTTGAACCCAAAGTTTGCCAAGAAATTCCTAATTGATTACTATTTTGAGCTTGTTCAGAAACTTAAGTTTGGAATATATGACATTGATAACAAAACCTTTGATCTGAATGATGATGACTTCTTAGGAGAATTTGAGTGTACACTGGGACAAGTAAGTATGCAGATGATTTTCCTTAGAATTAAGAAAGTGTAAGTTACTGCAAATCATTAACCACTTTTACCTTAAATTTATCACTATGTTCTTGTGTAGTTGGGGTACTCCTACGCTGAATAGGATTCCCTTCATTTGTGTTTACAAGCCTCTTTATTTGCAAAAGGTCTTGAGATGATGCCCTGAAATGTACTCTAGGATGGTGACTGTCCAATTTGCTGTCTGAAAGTAAGTGGACGGTCAGTGAGCACAAAGTAATAATTGCTGTTTATTTACTCTAAGACTCAAATTATTATTTTTATGCTCCATAGAAAGAGAATTGGTGTTTAGCAGCATAAGAGTGTTCATAAGGGCCATGTTAACCTTATAATTTGCTTTCCACTCAAGGCCAGCAGTGATTCTGGTTGTGCTAACTGTTGATGTCACTCACATTTCCCTGCCAAATTCTGCTATTGGTGCTATCATAATGGGGCAGCTTTTTCTCAAATTGTTATTTCTAATAGATCCGTTGAAGGCACTTCTCAGGAGAGTCTACTTGTTTTTTTTCCTCCCCTGTGTCTAAAGTATTTTTATTTTAAGTGCATTATAAAGATGGAGGCATTGTGAAATGAAATTCAGTAACAATGTAAAATTAATCATTCATTCTTGAAGTAAAGAAGGACCTGTAGAATGAGTAGACACCCTTCTGATAAAGCATTGCCTGAAGAGGCTAGAGCAAAATCAACTGGATACACGGCAGGGGAGACTGATGTTTGTTTGTGTGACAAATACTGTGTTTATAAATCTGTTTGCTGAAGCTGTTATGAGATATGGCTTGCATGTGTTTGAATGGTATGTGTGAAAAACTTAGGAACAATTTGAGATTGGAACTTAAGGTATTACATTTGCCCATGTATGTATATCATGTTACTAGAAGACATTTTATTTCATATTGCTCCTGAAACTCTGCATGTGTTCATCTGCATATATATTTTAAAATTTTGAAGTGTATCAAGTATTACCTATTTATTCATAGGACATCATGGGAAGTAAATGTAATGTTGTCATCTTCATGATAAAGGAAACATTCCTAAAATGAAAATACTTCACCATCTCGTTTCATTCCTTTGAAAATCTATGAAATTGTGCTAATAATGCTTGATACTCAAATTTTGTCTTGGCAGGTTGTTTCTAGCAGGACTCTAACAAAACCATTAGTGCTTAAAAATGGCAGACCTGCTGGAAGAGGAAGTATTACGGTAAGACAATAAATCTCCTTAGCATTTATCCTTAAATGTTTTTGTGGCTTTTTTTTTTTTTTTTTTGTTAGTTAGTTAGTGGCTTGAACACAGTGAGTCTAATGTACTGTGCTGTAAAAAGTATCTTAAAGCATTTTTTCTTTCCCTTCACTAATATTTCTTTGTTATCCAAAAGGAGAGCAGCCCACTTTCTGCATCTATAAGTCTTATTGCATCCATCCAAATAATTAGGGCATCCGATGTGCTACTATTTGGGCAGTATCTTTGTCAGTGTCATCATCTAGTGAATCCCAATGTCAAATCAAATTGTTCTTCCCTCCCCCCATCCCATTTTTTAATGCTTCATTTGTGAGCAAACATGTTTGGTTGGGTTTTTTTTATGGACCTGTCATAGGAGCGTTGAGAATATGAGAAAACAATGTAGTTCCTGAATACAAAATAAGTATTTTGTTTGCCTATCTAGATTACAGCAGAAGAAGTGAAGGATAACAGGGTGGTTGTATTGGAAGTAGAAGCAAGGAAACTGGACAGTAAGGTATCTGTGTGATTGCGGTTCTTTTTGATACAGTAATAAAATCAGAATCTTGTCAAAACAGGAAACATTAAAACGTTCATTCCTACTTTTTGCTGAAATAATGAAATCCATTAAGATTTTTCTTATACCAAAAAAAGAAATTGAAGAAAGATTTGCTTCAGAGTAACTTCATTGACTGTTTTGAAATGAATTGCAATGTATTTCTAAATAAGACAAGTGCATTGCAGGGATAGTCTGTGAATGGCATGCTTCCATTTAAATGTAAATCTTTACATTTAATCATAAAGATAAGGGAGTTTTGGTATATCCATTGGTTTGAATAGCTGTATAAATGATTACCCGTTAGCTCTCTGAAGTAAATGGTGAAGAGTGTACTTGGAGTGTATAAATCTGTTACATTCAATATTTTGGGGCAGGCTAAAATTACTGTATTTAGAAAGACTTTTAGAAGGAAAATAAAAAAAAAATTAATAATGGAAAAAATGTTATCATTTTTCCCAGTCAATTTAATGATACTTTTCTGAACTGGATGAAATCCTTAGTTTCCTAACTATCCATCACAGTACTTATTCGTGTAAGTATTCTTTTGCTTGAACTGTCAGGTATTTACTGTGTGGACATTACAGAACTTTTATCCTAAATTGATGGACATGCCCTGTTTTCTTTCTCTCTTTCACAGGTGGTAGTATAATCAGACTAAAGCTTTTTCATCCAAAGCTTTTGTTCCCTGAATATTTAGTTTACTTTTTGTTAAGCTAAGCATGTTTTAACTAGCATTTAGTGGCATTCATGCCACAGGCTGTTCTGGGATAATTACATGTTCTTTAAATACAGGACTTTTTTGGAAAGTCAGATCCTTATCTGGAATTCCACAAGCAGACTGGAGATGGAAACTGGGTGATGGTTCACAGAACAGAGGTAGGATATTTTCAGTCAACAACCTAGAGATTAACATTATTTGATTTCCAGTGTGTCACAGCACTAGAGGTACAGTGCCTTACAAAAGGAAGAGAATGATCTGGCAGTTGACATGCAGACCAGTTAGAAACCACCTCTGCTCTTCCACTGATTTTTCTCATAGAACAGGAAGTCTGCCTTACTCTGATTCTGATGTGTGCCATCCTATTGTAAAGGAAAATACCTTTTTTTTTTTTTTTTAAACTTTCTGCAACCCTTTTGAAAAGGTACTGCATACTCATACAGGGACATTTGTCTTGGTGCTACTCTGAGGGTAGAGCTTGGGCATTCCTATGACTGCTGTTCTTATGTCAGTATCACCTCGCAGTACTGTTTACTAATAAATGTAATCATACCAAATGCTTGCATAGCAAGGGCAAGTCAAGGATTATGCTGGGTGAGGGAAAACATGCTTGAGCAGCAGCCTTCCACCCAGGAGGAGGTGCAGAGGTCCCGTGACAACAAGTGACAGGGTAGGAGTAGGTTCAAAATGTCTCACTGTAGTGGAAGCTCAGGCCCTAGTCACAACTGAGGTACTACTGTGTGCATTTGAAGTGGTGACTGTATTAATTTTGAAGCATGGATGTTGAAGAAGTATAAATCCTTTTTGTGTCAGATTTATAAAAATAGTTTCTCTCATGAGGTGGTGGTTCTGCATAAAATGTGTCTTTTCCATAAGGATTTCAGTCATCTTCAATTTCAGTAATGAATCCAGAATTCGCTGTTCCAGCCTAGAACTGGCTGGAGGATTAGTTCTTTATGTTACAGATTTTAAAAACCTTTTTATGTTACTAACTTTTATTTACTGTTTTCATTTTCAAAAGAGAGGTTTCTTTCACTGCACTCCTACAGTGCTGGAAGTATAAGTATTACTATTATTAGGTAGTATTAATTAAGTATTGCTTGTTGTGTGTAGTTTCCTGTACTTTATAGTATCATTATTTGGTGTATTGGGTGTATTACAGATACTTTCCTGTTGACAAATTCTGAAGATCCTTCAGTATTATTCTTAAATATCACTTATTTAGCATTCAGCCTGGGAGACCTTTTATCCTCATGCACTGTTTCTGCTTAACCATACCATGAATTTCTTGAGGGAGTATTTTGATAAGTGGCATTTCAGAATAAATATAAGCTGGAGTGAACTGTAATCTCCAGAGTATTGATGTATTCAGAAATTCCAATGTAATCTTTTTTCATGTTTTTTTGGTAGGTCACACTGTTATATATGTTTTTGTGTAAGTATATATGTATGTGCTTATTAAAAAAAAAAGTCAACGTTTATGTAAAGATTAATTTTTTGCAGTGTAGTAGCTGAATGATATAGTAGATCCCAGTGCAGTCTAGAAAAATATGGAGTTGAAAGATACCATCTCTTTTGGAGAATTATATTGCATGTTAAGAATGTTTAGTTTGTTTACATGCTGTATGTTAGGATTTTGATCACAGGAAGTGATTGACAGCAACATTAGTCAACTGGTTTTGCTTACAACATTCATGGCATGAAGGTATTAGCCATTACGATGACTATTTTCCACTCTGGTGAACAATACTATTCTGTCTTTTTTTTTTTAACAGGTTATTAAAAACAACCTGAATCCTGTATGGAGGCCCTTTAAAATCTCTCTCAATTCTCTGTGTTACAGTGACATGGATAAGTCAATTAAGGTAATGTATATGAAATGTGCGTATAAATTACCACATTAAAAAAATTAGAATATGTAATAAATGGAAGTTGTGTTATTCTATTGCCTCTTTTTGTTTCAAATTGAATTGAAAGTATTGGGTTTCTTATTCTTACTTGAAAGTCACAGATGTATGCATGTTTCAGGGAAAAAAATATATTTCACATTAGTGATGCATCATGTGGTAAAAGTTGGCCTTTGAAAGTCTGGGAAACCAGTTGAATGCAAGTAGCTTTGAAATGTCCAATTCAGTTTTGTATTTGGATTGTACAGTTTTAGTGTTGCATCAGCCAATATTGGTGGTATTAAGATACTGTATAGTGAAAGATGCATGATAAAGGCTAGAATATGCTTTGTTCTATGTTATGGATTTGTTAATACTTTGGTACTGGTGCAAGAGGTAACACTAAAGAAATTCGTAATATACTACCTGATACAATTAGTTACACTTAATATACTAGCTGAGATAAGATGTGAACCAGATGTCTCTTGTGGATACCAGATGTAGTGACTTTTTCTGCTCAGATAAAACTGAGCTTTCTGTTGGAAAGTCAGCCAAACCTGTGAAATGATAGTTCTACCAGGACTGGTCTTTAACTCTTTGTATCTTTAAATCTTACCTTGAATAAGTTATGTTTAACTTCTGAATGTTTTTCTTCAGGAATTCCCTTCAGGGGTGGAATTGAAGCTAAACAACCAATCAAAATGCCATTTATAAGTTATTATGAACATGTTAGGAGCCTGGCATTTTAGCATTTGAAAAAAACCAAACCAACCAACCAGTTTACTTGCTGTTCTTCCTCTGGGAAGGAAAAATGAGAGCATGATCTGCATGTGACAGGTATTAGTATTGAGGCAGTCCTGGAAAAAGCTTAAGAGCCATAGGGATCTGGGTGTTACAAGCACCTGTATAGATTTAAATACATAATTACAGAGCAGACTAATGAACAACTTTACAAGCCCAGAACCTGCTTCCCTTACTGCTTCTGTGTTTTTTCCTTCTCATTCCTTTCTGCTTCCCTTTTCCCCAAAATAGCTGTAACAGCTCTTACATCTCCATATACTGTAAATATATTTTTCTTTTTCAGTAAACAGCCATACTAAAACTATAGACCATTGATTAAAATATATCTGTTGAGGTGGAGTCATTCTCAGCTCTGTCATCATTTTAATAGTCTGTTCTTTGGAATCTTACCTCAGAAGTGTAGGTTTATTTCCAGCAGAAGTAGATTTTACTTGGAGTTGTTACGGACTTGCAGACAGACAGTAGGATTATGTCTCGTCTTAGAAATCTGGGAGCTATCACTTCAAACATTAAAATGCAGACAGAATTATATTGTAATGTTGTTGAAGGATTAAACAATACTCTTAACACTTTCATATGCGCACAGTTGCATACGTAGTGGGCTATTTATCATAGTAAGTAAACCCACCAACTTTTCCATAATGAGTGGCTTTTCACCTATTTAATGGCTTAGTTTGTGTATCCCCAGCAATGCACAAACCAAGTTGATTCTTTATCTTTTAGACTTATTGCTATATTCCATGTGAGTGTATTTGCAGTCAGTGAAGTTTTTCTGTCTTGAAAATGTAAGCCTTTCATCCTGAGCAAGAATGCCTGGTTCTGCTGGGGAAAATATATATGCAATTTTATCACATAGTTCCCTAGTGGTACTGTGTGTCCATGAGAGCATACCTGGAACAAAAGAAGTATTTCTATCTTGCCTGGAGTAAGTATTGAAAATTGGCTTAGATGGTTCACATATACCAAGCAAGACAAACTTTGATCCCTTTGAAAGGAAAAAGAAATAACTGTGCTAACTGTGAACAGGTATCATAACTGTTGGCTCAGGAAATGTCTTCAGTTTTAAATTTCAGGTACTGAGGCACTTTGGCTGAGTATTTGATTGGCTTGATTTATGGCATTCAAAAGAATTTACATAGTATCTGCCATGAACTTTAGTCTGTTGGTTCTGTGGCTGCTTGTATGAGATTTAAGTTGCTATTGAGTGCATGTGCATGCATTTTATTTATCTACTAGTGCATTCAAAATGTTGTAGGAGTAGTGCAAGTCACAACATAGAGGCATGTTTTGCACAGCGTAGAACTTGAAATCTACGCATCTTATTTTGTACTACAATGTTACTGTTTGTTTTCAGAAAGTTAATTCCTCTCAGATGCTCAAGTGTATGTTGAAGTTGTTTGTTTTACTTTGTTATTCCTAAATGAAGTGGCCAAGTAATCAACTAAATTGTTTCTTGAATATAGTGTAAAATTTTTTCAATCTGGAAAGACAGACATGAAAATAGCTGTTCAGTTTAACCCATATATGTTCAGAAAAGTTTTTCTTGAAGTTTATGTTTTGATTCCAAATAATGGGTGATTTCTACTTTGACTCTTGATTTATTATTTATCATTACTATTGTTAAATTATTTTGATTTGATTAAGTTAGCTAGCATGTCTGTGTTGCTAATCTGAAATAAAATACCAGAAGTGGATAGAATTAGCATATGCTATTATAGATAATATATAGAAAGGCAGTTGGGTCATATTCATAAATTGAGCTTTTAAAAAACAAAAATTGAGGACATACAAGGTTAAAGTAACAGTGGTAAAATTATGCTCACTCAAAATGAGAGGTTCTCAAAGAGAAAAAAAGTCTGTTTTTCACTTGTTCTGCCTTCTTTGGTGGTGAAAGATGAGTTGATTGAATAATAAAACTTAGCATTAAACATTGAATACAGGAAAAGAGGGATTTTTAGTTGACATTCAGATCCATGAAGTGTGGATCATAGTGACTGTTTAAATTTGCTGATCTTAAAAAAAAAAAAAAAAATCTTGTTTCTAGATTTAGGGCTAAACCTTCATATACTTATAAATTCTAAGTTTATCTTGAAGATTTGTAAAGTAATATAAAAGTATTAAAACTCTTGTGATCCCTGAATAACTATTTATTAAATTTTTAGCTGGATGGTCAGAGATAGTTAAATTTCCTTAATACCTCTGAATAATTAAGTCTCTTAATCCATCATGACAGTAAAAAAACATACATTGTTTTCCTACTCTTCCTGATACCCCCTCACTCCCCAAACATAGTTAAATATAATTGATCTTACTCGCTCACGCGGGACCTGACACTGCTTAGTATTCTTGTCTCTTCTTCACTTCAGTGGAAGATCTGAATTGAAACTGGGTATATTGGCTTTTACCCAGTCTGTAATTTTTAGATGTAACTCTATGCAATTCTAAGACTGCAATGTGAGGAAAAACTCCATGTTATAAGACATCTAGGAATATTTTGGGTGTCAGTTTTGGCTGAACTAGAAATGCCATTGCAGTGTTTATTGCTTTTGTAGGGCCGTTTCTGTTACTAACACTGAACAATGCTTCATTTTAGGTTGAATGCTATGACTATGATAGTGATGGGTCTCATGATCTCATAGGAAGTTTTCAAACTACTATGTCAAAACTGAAGGAAGCATCTCGGTCCTCACCTGTAAGTCTTACATAGTCTAAGCTGCCTGTGTGTTTTTGATAAGCTGTTTTACTCATTTTGGAGCAAAGCTTAACACCACTTGACTTGCAGGTATTGAAGTAGTGTTAGGCTACACCTTAATGCTACTGTAGTTGAGGCTGACTCAGCATTTACATTATGCATCCACTTCCCTAGGATTAGTATCTTGGTTACAATTTTTAATATTACATATCTAAATACCCAACTGTCAGCACAAATGAATTTCACTAATCATAAAAACACAGAAATCAAAAAATTTAGCATGTCAAAGGACAGAATGCAGTACAAATTTCACTGCAGTTAAAAGGCCAAAGCTTGTAGTATTTTTTTCAGGTTTTACTTAGTCCTTTATTTCAAGTATGGCACTTACCAACTGTCATGCATAGTTCAGTGAATATGAAAACAATTCAACATTTATGGTACTGCAGAAGAATGCAACTGAATGTGTTACATTAGGTGGCTCTTATTTAAAGTGAAATTACCCTTTATGTTCTTACGAACTGTAACAATTTGCAAACCTTTTAATAGACAAGGTTTACATTTAGAAGGTGGCATAGCAACCTTAACGTAAAAGTCTTTGTTTTATGGACATGTATGTTATCAAAATATTTTACCATCTTTTCCTTTCATTCTGTAAAACCTGTAGAACTGCTCCTGCATTTAATAATAATGGGATATATATACAAGAGTGCCTGCCTGTACTTTTCTAACATCTTGAATGTTGCATTTGTACTGAATTCTTCAGAGCTGTTTAATGTGAAGAGTTAACCTTGTATGTAGTGGTTTTTTGATTGCTGCTTTGTGCCTTGCCATGCTTTTCTTTCAGATACCTGTTTCTGAATTAATTTTGAATTATGCACGGTTTAGTTTAATGCCTGTTAAGGTTTTATATTGTTTGTAAGAAATTTTGGACTCGTATCCTACCTATATAATTCATATGCTGCCTAGTTGGAGCTCTTAGGTGTTTTCTCATTTTTTCTAGATTTTCAGGGGCCAGATGGTATCAGTTTAGCTTTCGATGCTGACAGTGATCCTTCTTATTACTGTAATTAAATTGTGCAAAAAAAAATAATCAGGGAGCAGAAGGGTTTCATAAAATCATTTTTTCTGCTTTTTTTTAAATGAAGACTTTATGAATCTTCTAACAAGATGGTTTTCTTAATTTTTTTTTAATAAAAAACCATTGCACTTTTGTTGTGTAGCAGTGTCATAAATTAAACAAACCTAGCAGGTTAGTATGTTCACATTTTCAAGCACATATTTTTTGTAAGAACTGTGATAGTGCGTTCCCATGCAGTGTGAAGTGTGTTGGGTAAAGGCTCTTTGAGAACACAAATGTCTGTTTTCATTGTGCCCCTAGCAGCATAATAGGTGCGGTCTCTTTTGAATTTAAGGAAAAAGTATTTTAAGTTATAATCTGCCTGTGCTGGTTTTGGAAATGCTTTAAGAAAGTTATTTTCATGAGAACTGTGGCTATACCTACTCTAAGTAACTTTCTGCTGTGTCAGTAAGATGAAGTGAAGATAGGAGACAACACAACTAATGTGCTCCAGGTTTCTTCTACTTTTAAAAGGAACTAACCTCTGATCCTCTGTGATCTGATAATTTGATAATGTCTGTAAAATATTTCTAGTGCACATTAGAATTTGACTTTATATATTCCAAGCATGATCTTTAGTTACTCCCACGATTCTGACATCAACTGCGCCTGTGGGAGATTTGGCACAACTTCTTTGAAGTTTATTTGAGGTGAGCATGGGTGTGCCTGTATCCTCAGTTGCTGAAAAAGCTGGTCTTGTATGACTGAAGGGAATGAATGGGTGGCTTTTCATTCTCTGGAGAATTGCTGATTTCTGCCCCCCCCCCCCCCCCACAAGGGCATTATTTCACTAAATGGCGCGTTCGTAGGGACT